CGAAGTCGTAGGAGTTAGGAGTTCTGGGCTTTGACCGCTGCGGCGGAGGAGCGTCTGAACCACCACCCGCGCAAGGTTATCCCACACCGGGAACCCCACCTCGGACTCCAGGCCACATGTCCCGGGAGCCGTTGTAGTAGCCTGACACGGATGAAAGGCATACCGTGCCGTGTTATTCAGGGAAAGGATGCCAGAAAGGGAGCTCCCGCAGAAAGGGCAGTTCCAGTGAGCTCTCCGATTATAATGCTTATCATACTTGCACTGGCAAAGAACATCTCCAGACTTTCTGAACGATCGGAAACGCAACGACTTCTGCCAGGCATCTGAGAGGGTCGTGGCGGCAGCTGTGGTGGTCTTCACCAAGCTGGAAGCCTGCGCAGGCCCAGGCCCGGTGCTAGGCTTCTCTGATTCCGATTTAGGGTTTAGGGTTTAGGGTTTAGGGTTTAGGGCTTCGAGTTGGGAGCCAGAAGAGCATCTCCCGGGCCTCGTAGGCCTGTGTCAGGCAGGACACGCTGGGTGCCGTCCAGGGTGCACGGCCCTGCACGCCTTGGTCTGCTTTGCCAGCTACCGGCTTCGGGGGTGGGGGCTTGGACAGCAACCCCCGCCAAGCTTGAGTCATGAATATCAGGACTCATATAGGGGCCTTAATAATTAGAATAGGGTTTAGGGGCCCATTAGACTATAACTATAACAAGGAACCCCCCCAAAATAATATAGGCAATTATTGAGGCCCCTATCAGATCCATCATTACCACCCACCCTGCCCCTCGCCTTTGTCGACCCAGCTCCTGCAGGTGAACTCAGACTTTGCAGTCGAAAAGCCTAGCCAGCTGCGATCATCTGCAGCTGCCACCTGGCCACATAAAGCGCTGGGCGAGACGGGCTTGACGGTGCAGATATAGTGGATATTGTCTATATCTGTCTATCTATCTGTGTGTATATATATATATATATGTACACACCTACTTCATTGCTTAACTCAATTATTAAATTTTAAAGGATGCTTTGGGGAACTTGAGACCGGACGCTTGCAGGAGCTTGCGCCGAATATCGACTGCGCTCTGCCAGCAACACCACCAGCCCTGTCAACTGCAGCCTGCTGATCTCCACTTGTCGACTGTGCTCTTTGAGTGCAACTGAAGTCTGCCGTGGTGAGCTTGGGGTTACATAAGTTACCACATGGGTGGTTGTCAAAATTATGGTCTCTTTTTGGGTCCTTATTATCCGCCGA